CCACCGTGTGTTTTGTGTCAGTCGGTCTATGTCCCCCATGCCTTGGCATTCAGACGGTCATACTCATCCAAGGTAGTGACATCATTATAATCTTCCTAATTTTAACTCTTTCCATGCTGCTTTTCCACTTTTCTCTCCACCTTAAAATGAGGCGATGCCACCTGCACTCTCAATCTGCTTGCGTGCAAGAGGTTAATGGAAACCTGTGTTGAGGGACATTCTGATGCGGAATTGATGATTCTTTTTTAAAAAATGTCTTCAGTGGATGTATGCTTGGTCTAGATCAGTGACAACAATGAAGCCAGTGACTACATGTTTGAAAGGCAATAGGAGTCTACATAGTTCTGTTAATACAGGTTTCCTTTAATTGCAGAAAACATTTTAACCATTAAGTCTAAAACATATTTATTGCTTATTAAAAGAGCGGACAGAAGTCATAACGTCCTGACAGTTTTTCTAACGCTCTGTTTCCCCATTCAAGTGATTTTTCCCTTCCTGCCTCAGTGATGCCAGGATATAAAATGAGGGGGAATAGGAGTCGCAGGGACAGAAGATTGTACACCAGGCAGTAAATATGGGGAGCTGGTAGCACCATCATCAGAAATGAGTGGGAACTGATGTTACTGGGGGGCGTGTGGAGGTGTCACAGGGACAGAACTGATGCCAGGCCAAGAAACGAGGGGCAACAGGTATCACAGGGACAAAGCAGGTGACACAGGACAAGAAATGGGGGAGGGGGGGTGTCACAGGGACAGAGCAGGTGATACCAGGACAAGAAATGAGGGGCAACAGGTGTCACAGGGACAAACCAGGACAAGAAATGAAGGGGAGAAAGATTTTTTTAAATAATCTCTCCGCCATAACACGAGCATCCAATACCAGCCATTCTCCAGAGTCCTGTTCTGCAGCTTTTAATAACTGCTTCAATTAAAATAGACATTTCAGTGCTATACCAGGGGCCAGTGTGAGAACAGACATAGCTGAGCACAGAGAGTACAACATGCTAGGTCAGGTGTCCACAGACATTTGACGTAAATATTCTTATCAGTCAGTTCTAATGTTTTCCAATCCTTCTATGTATGATTGGTAACTACATGGTGATCGCCATGTTTGCCCCATTACCTTTCCAGGCTCTGCTTCCTGCTTAGTGCTGCTTCTGTTATTTCACTTACATGTCTCCCTGTCAGGATGTGACTTATTGAAAAGAATAACATTTCAGTCTCTAATGATGCCAAACACCACAGTGCACCTGTTGGCCAAAGACCATGTGATTTTTGTCTAGGCTATATGTGGCAATGGTGGGGTTTTTTTTGTCAGAAATATTTGCCTTATGGAAATTGTGAAATGTACCAAACTGACCAGATTTTGTTATGATTGTATAGGAGAAGGTAGTGTTGTGTATGATCACCACACATTAGTGTGAGCAATACCTGGTTAGGTGCTGCTTAATGATGACCAGGTGAGGATAACATATGATGTGGATTAGAAGTTAATGATTAGAACTCGTAGAGTAGCAGTGATTCTGGCTTACCATTGGTGGAGGTGATGGGAAACATTCAGTGTCCAATGTGGTGCGTATCTCATGTATTCACCTCTTGACAGAAAACATACACGGATGAAGAGCTGAATGCAAAGCTGACCAAGAGAGTGCAGAAAGCCGCACGGAGACAAGCCAAGCAGGAGGAGCTGAAGAGGCTGCACAGGGCACAGGTAGGTGACCACTGACCTTTCCTGATAAGTCTTCCCCTGGGACCACACCAATTACTGCAGGACTATAGAGTCTGGGCTATCATGATTGATACTTTCCCATAATTCCCTGTTATCAGACACATGGAGCTGCACTGAACTGTGATTGCTCCTCCCTTTTCTTGCAACCCCTTGTTCCAGGAGATGTAAACATGACCAATTATCCCAAAAACACAATTAATGAATCCAACTCCGCCCTAAGGTTTTCCTAAACAGTGAAAATCACTCAACCTAATCCAGAAAAGAAGCTTTAAAGGAGAACTATGGGGTTAAGGCTTTTCCCCATAGTTCTCCTTAGTGTAACGGGAGAACACAAACTAGCGTCCTCCCGTCACCCTAAGCTCAGTATACCGCGAGCTACAGCTCGCGGTATACTGAGACGCCGCAGCTGAAGCGGATCCCGACAACTGTCGGGATCCGCCCAGCTGCGTGAGTGACAGCTGGCTCTGCCTATCTAGAGGCAGAGCCAGCTGTACCCTCCCCCGTCCGATCCGCCAGTCAGCTCTGGCAGGGAGGGGGGGATCCAGCCCCCCCCCAGTCACGGCCGAGAGCCGTGACAGGCGTGAGAGGTGAGCGAACGCCGGTATGTGTTCACTCACTTCTCGATCTACTGAGCCGACCTGTGACAGTCTCATTGTCACAGGTCGGCTAGAACTATGAGGTGAGTGAAAAGCACTCACCTCATAGTTCTCCTTTAACATTTCAAACTCTGATTGTTCTCAATTTTAAAACATTTTAGGTTTTTGCATTTAGTATGATGATTTTTTATCATGGAATGTATTTATTTCCCCAGATAATCCAGCGGCAATTAGAGCAGGTGGAGGAGAAACAGAGACAGCTGGAGGAGAGGGGAGTAGCAGTGGAGAAGGCTCTCCGCGGGGAAGCAGGTATTCTATTATTTCCTGTTTTCTTATGGTGTAAGGCTGCAGGAAGACTCCAGAAAGTCCTTATGTAACCTGTTGCCGTAGGGTCACATTTATCCGGACACTTATTTGATATAAATGCCTGTTAATCGGTTTTATTTTAGCTCCTGGACATCCTTTTACTGGCACTGTCATCCTATAAAATAAACCTAATCAGAGACTAACTTCTTTTTCGTATTCCTCTGTATAAGCCACTAAACATGCAATTTCCTACTTGGAAAACACAGGAGTGGGTCACCCCAGTGCTGACCGGCTTGGGTCTTCCCGCTAAGAACCAATTCTGATTTGCTGTTTGCTTAAACTTTACGCCACTGAGAACTGCTCGGTGTTGGTCTGTGGAAGACTTCTGACGGTCTTCATCTAGGTGACCACTTTAATGGAGCCTCCCACCTTCAGATGATTTACATTTTTTTTGGCTTGTACATACCCTAATGAACTATTTATTATATACATTTCTTTTTTGCAGTAGCTTGCTTCTCTGTATTTTTTACCTGTCCTGGGATAGGGCCTAGGCTGACTATAAACACTCGATTCTTGTCTCCATTGTTGAGTCTGGTGGTTAAAGTATATCTTTAGGCAAAATGTGGGATTTGAGAAGAAATCTTAAATCCCAACAGGGAACAGGAATTGAGAGGAAAGGTCTTCAAAGTGAAGGGAATTCCCCTCTTAAGCTGGCTCAAATTTGTTTGAAGGCAAGTTGCCTAATAAAAAGTTGAATGCAGCGCCACATTTGTCCTTTTCTAGCAATATAAACCTATTGGAGGTTCTAACTCCTTACTGCTCTATCCAAAACTGAAAAGGTTTGGGCTTTAGATTAGAGCTGCAACAGTTATTCGATTAAGTCGATTAAAATCGACGATTGAAAACGTTGTCAACGTTTTCCATCGTCGATTCATCGGCTAAAATTCAAATTTCCCGCTCGCCGCTTACGCCACGCCCACGTCGTTTAAGCCGCTCGCGCCTACGCCGGTATACCCGCTCACGCGACGCCGCTTACGCCACGCACACGCTGAGGACATGTGTCTGGCCCTCTCCTCACGGTGAGCTGCCCGATTCGCCGCTGCCCGATTCGCTGCTGCCCGCCGACATGATCGACGCCGCTGCCCGCCGACAACACCAAGGTAAGTGGAGATCGGCCGGGAGCTTTTTAATGCTGCCTGTGTGTTTTTTGTTTTTTTTAAAGCAGCACACTGCAGAACATTATCAAGATCAAATGAAGTATTTTAGAGTTCCAACTTAGATTCCTTCTGACCATCAGATTTTGTTAGTGACACTAAACTCAGGAGTTAAATTGTAAAAAATACATTCATGTACCTCAACTATTAACAAAAATGTATCTTATTTGTGTATCACTCGGCTGTAGATCCTCAAATCATCTCTGAATTGGTGCCGACACTGTTCTTCCTTCTGGAGGGTGGCTACTTTTGTTCCCCACGGTCCCTGTGTGTTGTAAAGTAGTCACCAGTCCCAGCTCACTCCTGGGATGGATTCAATCTCATGTTTAGTTTAGTAATTTATATAGAAGTATAGTCTATCACGGGAGAAGGCTTGGAGTGGTGACTACTTTACAACACACACAGGTACCGTGGGGAACAAAAGTAGCCACCTTCCAGAAGGAAGGACAGTGTCTGCACCAATTCAGAGATGATTTGAGGGTCTACAGCCGAGTGACACAAATAAGATACAGTATTGTTAATAGTTAAGGTACTTCAATGCATTTTTAACATTTAACTCCTGAGTTTAGTGTTCCTAAAGCAGAACTCTGGGCAGATTTTTTTTTAATAACCCTTGTAGTGGGGCAACCCCTCTACTGCAAGGGTTAACTGCTCATTTTTTTTTGTCTAAGTTAAGAAAGAAAGTTACTCACCTGATCCTCCCAGCCAGCTTGATCTTAGACCGGTCGCTGGAGCCTCTCTCCCCCTCTGCTGCAGCGGTCTAAGGTCCTGTAAATCATCATGTTCTATACACCGTGGAGGAGAAGTGAGGATGCAGAGGAACATTCCAATGTTTCAGCTTAGGCAGAGAAAGGTTTCAGTGACCAGAGAAGCAGGCAACCGACTCGGCTGTTCAGGTGAGTATAACTTTTTTTTTTTTTCTTAGCACCTAGACAAAAGCATTGAGCACTTAACCATTGCTGTGTGGTGGTAGCCCCACTGCAAGGGTTAAGAACACATTTCCCTGGAGTGCTTTATCAGTTTTGCAAATTATTCAAAAAATCTCTGTGCGCCCTGACTGACCTTTTCCTCAAAGAAGGGAGAAAAGTGTTCAGTGAGAATGAGCGGCAGGTCCCGGAGCTACACAGGACATGCAGTGGTCTCCCCTCCGGCTCTTGGATAGATATATGCCCGTCTATGGTCAGCCAGAGAGGAGGATCCTCCTTTATTCACCCAGCAGCACTGGAAAATAGAAATAAAACCCTGTACAGAGTAGAGAGACATGGCTGATAGGCACAGAGGTAAGCTAAGCATTGGATTTCATACAAGGTGCCGTAGAGTTTGCACTGGCCGGTAGTGGTATCAAGTCTTCTGAAGGTGGATATTGTTATGTAATAAAACGCTTTGTACTAAGATGTGGCCTTCACACTTTCAACTAAGTTATTCCTTTAAGTTTACTGTTCCAAGAAATCTCTCCACTTCCAATGCACTCTTTTTACGTGAATCCAGGCAGCTGATGGGCTCAGGCACATTGGTCGCCATTCATATTCAATGACTAATCCTGATCTTTGAATCCTTCATTATCTTGAGATTTCTATTGGACAAAATTATTACTTTTCTTCCTTTTTTTTTCTCACTTTATTATCATGATTGTTTTCTAACCAACTCTGTGACTTCACAGTTAATCCGAATCCCATGTCTGAACACCATACTAGAGCAATGTATTTTATTTCTCAGTTAATTCCCCAGATTAGGCATTAATATTTTTCTTACGTGGCTAACAAAGTTGGTGGCTATAAGCAAAGTGGTCAGTGTGTGAAAACACAGTGGCTAGGCTACACTCTGTTTAATGTTTTTTTTTTTTTTATTATTGGATAAAATGGCATTCTCGTCTTTCAGTACCGTGCCACATTTTCAGGGCCTCTAAGCTTAAATAAAAGTTTTGTGTTAAAGAATTTTAATAGCATTCACGGATCAAGAACTTAGCAAACCTTAATGTTTAGAATAAGGGAAGATATATTTCCTTACACAACTGACTTCCTGTGCAGTAATCCTACTGACAGCTGTCTCTTTTAAGACTCCTTTATCGTAAATTGGCTGATATCATCTACACTTCTCAACAATGTGATCTGTCATATTAAAGGGAATATTCAGTCTTTTCAGTATGATTTTTATTTTTTCTAATATACATGTAATGTTGAAAATAATCTTGTCACTGTTTGATAAAAAAACAACCTTGTTTCTCTATTATTTGTTGAGGAACATTGCATTCAAAAAAATATATGCCATGGATAGGCAAACACCTGCCCTCCAGCTGTGGTGAAACTGCAAACATCTGTCTGTGCAGTCTTGTCTGTGGCTGTCAGAGTCTTGCAATGCCTTATGGGATGTGTAGTTGCACCACAGGAGGAGGGCTGGAGTTTGCCTACCCCTGATCTATACCGGGGCCTACAGGGGGATGGACACTAAGCAAAAAAATTAAGAGATCAGCCCCATAAGGTAAAACTCCTCCCCTACCAAGCTTTTTTAAATATAACATGATGTCCTATGGAGGTAGGACATCTCTCTCCAGCACTTTTGGACCAAGGCCCCCTTGTTCTGTTTAAGTTCACCCATATTGTTGTTTTGTTGCATCCTTTCCCTTTACGGTTGTGGGTCCCTCAATGAATGATAGGGAAATGGGATTTGTTTGTACTCATTGTAAAAATCCCTTTCTCTGATGTTCATTGAGGTACACAGCTCCCTCTTTTGGGGTGGCCTCTGGACTTGGTTGTCTATTTTTTGTCTCCATCTGTACTGCTTGCCACAACTTAGCATGCTTGGTAGATAAATGGCTATAGTCTATATGGGCTGGCCTTTTGAGCTTTTTTTCCTAGTGTCCATCCTCCTGTGGGTGGAAGCATAGCCCATAATATAGGCTCTGCAGCGCTGTGATCCTCAACGAACATCAGAGAAAGGAATTTGTGTGAATCCACACACAAATCCAATTTTCCTTACATAATTTGGGGTGTAACATAGCTCAAGCTTTAATTCAGCCACAAGTAAATGAGGGTAGTGACTCTGTCAAAACTGTGGGGCCATGCTTTATATGGGTTTTTTCTTTCTGTATGCTTCAAATGCAGGTTTTCATTTAAATTTGCAAGGTTAAGCTTATTTTTTTGTCTTTTGGTTTAACCCGATGGATGTGACTTTTTTTCAGCCTGGCTGCCTAAATGTGTAACTGTTAGACAGCTTTGTTTCAGTCAGACAAGGCCAGCCTCAAAGCAGGACTGTCTTTTTAGAAAATGGAATTCGTATAAAAAAAACTATTGAAATAACCATGAACTAAAAATATTAAAATAAATATGTTCCCTTTAAGGCAAGACTGCAGAGACTCTAAATATGAACTCACTGGAAACACCCAATACATTCCCTTTAATTATCTCCTTTCTGTACAGTGCTGACATATTCTTTAAAGACAGCTGTGAATGTTATTAGATTTTTTTTACATCTCCTTTTATTTAGATTTATTGGCTGTTTAAAACGTGAAATGTTTCTGTTGTGGTCGGTATTAATTTAGAAAATGTTTCATAGAGGGTTATAGATACTTCATTAGTCAGCACAGACATAAATGAGCCATATGGTAACTGATCACAAACTTAATGACTGTACTGCCCTGTGTTCCTGAACAGTATTTGTCAGAAAGGTGAAAATGGACTTTAAAAGTATCTTCTGGTTAAAAAAAAAACTGTTAGAGGGCCAAAAGGTTCGACAGATGTCAACACTTTCACCAAATGTGTCTTGTGGTTTTGTCAGGCTCTTTCTTATAAGAATGTTTTATTTATTTCAAAGCAATAACTCAAAATTGGGAAAAAACATAAAAATTGTCCCCTGATCAGATTCATAAAGTCTTCAAACCTCACCTGTATTCGGGGGTATGATTACATTATTAGCGTCATTGTTGTGTTTTTATTTGATTAATGAGCACAAAATAAATTTGAACTCTTGAGTGAGTTAAAGTTCTTGTAAATATTAGGGGGAGCTGCAGATCTGCCCCAGCGAAGATCCTGACAAAGTCACAATACGGAGTGTTACGCTTGTGCTTTCTGTCAGCTGCATTCTGGAGTGTTTCCATGTGTCCTGTCTGTACAATGCGTTGCATGATATTCTAAGCCTGTTGTACTCTTACTGTTTCTACTACTCTGCAGTGTTCCTCTCTCATCCTCAATACCAACTGCTTACAGATTCCCCTAAAGGTTTCTTCAGTCTTGTCTCACTGCTGTAATTCAACTTCCCTGCTTTCTCTAACCTCTCTGCCATTCCTCCCTCTCTCTTCCTTTGCCATTCCTCCCTCTCTCTTCCTCTGCCATTCCTCCCTCTCTCTCTTCCTCTGCCATTCCTCCCTCTCTCGCTTCCTCCGCTTGTCCTCCCTCTCTCGCTTCCTCCGCTGGTCCTCCCTCTCTCGCTTCCTCCGCCGGTCCTCCCTCTCTCGCTTCCTCCGCCGGTCCTCCCTCTCTCGCTTCCTCCGCCGGTCCTCCCTCTCTCGCTTCCTCCGCCGGTCCTCCCTCTCTCGCTTCCTCCGCCGGTCCTCCCTCTCTCGCTTCCTCCGCCGGTCCTCCCTCTCTCGCTTCCTCCGCCGGTCCTCCCTCTCTCGCTTCCTCCGCCGGTCCTCCCTCTCTCGCTTCCTCCGCCGGTCCTCCACCGCCGCTCTTCCTTCTCTCGCTTCCTCCGCCGGTCCTCCTTCCTTCTCTCGCTTCCTCCGCCGGTCCTCCTTCCTTCTCTTGCTTCTGCTCTTTGGTTCCTCCCACCTCTTCTTCTTAAATTTTCCTCCTCTGTTGTTCCCTCCTTCTCAACCACCCTCCATTGCTTCTTCTTACTCTCTTGTTCCTCTGTGACTCTTGCTCTCTGTCTGTGGTTGGCAATGCAATAACTCTCTTCACAATTCCTTATTGTAGACTATTGGGGAGAGTCTTATTACAGTGACCTCATCGATTTGCACCTGGGTGGTATGTATGCCCAAATCACACCCTGATACTAACTTGCACCCTCCCCTCAAATCTATTACTTCCTCCTTACTCCCGCAAGTTCCTCCCCTGCAACACTGAAACAACAAGAAGAAATGGTGTATTTATTGGTCAGCCTGGGTGAGGCCAACCTTCAGTACTGTGCCAAATTATCACATTTAACGCATGACCTAATTGTTGATCTGTCCTATCTTTTCTGTGATCAGTTTGTTTGATCTGCTACATCACCTGATAGGATAGAGATCCACTATAGACCACCAGCTGTGATCACTGGCCTACTCACTGGTCAGTGTCTGTTTTTTGGAATTCAGCTGATCAGGTCTGAAATCTATCATACAACGTTGCACATTCCACGTTTTCTCCAGATCCAAGATCTTTGTGCATCTCTCTGGAAGCTGGCCGCACACATCACCAGCTTAGTGTATAATCTTCTTTCCATGTACCAAGTATATAGCGTGAGGGCCTGCTTGATTGAATGTAAAATGAATAGTCTTTGTAGGTAGGTCCTCACATTACACAGTGATTAGACAAGTCAGCATTTTTGGGCAGTGAGCTCCTGTGCATGGGAGACCATCAATAGGACAGGTTATAAAACGAGACAGGCCACTGCTGGCCATCTCCTCTCCATTCTGGTTAGAGCTTACACATGACTGAGGACTTCAATGGGCCATTCACCAAGCACCAACGCTGTCACATAAGAGGAAGAAGAGTGAGTCGCATGCGTCCCCATACCTTGATGAACTTTATATTTTAATATGTTTGATGAATGATGGATGGAAGAAAGGTGAGTTTGCAGCTAGTGAGCTAGCAATAAAGTGAACCTGTTACACATTGTTTGCTTTAAGTCTTGCCTCTACTGGTATAGGACTAGTCAACAGGCAGTGTGGAAGTCCCTCTTAACAGTCGTGAAATGGGTCAGATCTGAAAACTCAGCGCAGCAATGTCGCCAACGGGGTCACTTGGAGATATAAAAACCTGTTAGGTGGTTTAACTCTGCCAAGCTTCAGGGGAAATGAGTGATGAGGTGCATGGACAGAGTGAAGCCATGTAGCTATCTCTGTTCAGAGGCAAATCTGTAACCGTTTCTTCAAAGATGCAAAATAAGGATTTTTATAAGCTGCAGAGATCTCAAAACACTTGTGATGTTTCTGTAATATGTGTCTAAGTCATTGTGATGTCTTACCGGTCAACATGCAATTAATATAAATTTCCTGGTCTTTAATGATCAATAGACAGGGTCACCATATCAGGGGTGCCAAGAGAGGAGGGGAGGCCACTGTAGTCACATAAACATGAAGGTGCTATGGTGTTACACACATGGGATTATGGAACTTAACATTCTAATTCCGTTTCAAAATTTTCATCAAATATGTGGTTTTATTATATGTTTACTCAGACCATTGCCTTGTCACAAAGTACGGTCTGGGTGAAGTGTGGCCATTTTATTATCCAACCTCCTTCCCAGTATGTGTTTCTTTAATGTTTTAATGTAAGTGTCGCTGTGTCTGCTCTGTTTAAGAGAAAGGTGACAATTCATGTGAACACTGTAATACATTGTAATGTGAACAAAGCTGTTTGTTGTACCTTATGATGTATAAAGTTCTTTACAATATGTGTTGGTTACATGAAAGTTGACACCACCTCCAGTGGAGGGCGCTGCTATCACCTTGGGTTAAGTGGTTAGTGGAGATTTCTGTTTTTCTGGCCCGTTTCTAGATTGATTTTCCTACTTTTCTTCTTGTTGTTTCCTGCTCTCACTGTCCTTTTTGCTTTCTTCCTTTTCTATCCTCTTCTATCACTCCTTCCCGCTCCCCCACAACACTGTCCTTTCCGCTTCCACCCCTTTCTCTGCTCCCCACTTCCCATTCATGGTTCATTCTTTGAAGTTGATCCCATTGTGGGGACTCCACGGCGTAGACCTATCTCCTTCTGTCCTTGCTGTGCCCACGAAGGTAAAGTAGCTTTCCTCTGCGGCTGGCATCCCATTGTCACCTCCGGCTCATTGTGGTACACCTCTGACTCCTCCTTGCTCCATCCTCACCCTGCTGCTTCTAGTGATCACTGCATGACTGTGAGCCAGAGGAATGCGGAATCTGAATCTGGGACGCGGAATCTATGTAGACATAGCGAGATGGGCATTGTGAACTGTTAGATGCAGCATGTTGTTTTGTACATACATTCATGTGAAGAAGTACATCCTATGGAAATTGTTTTAATTCTATATATTGTATTTGAAAAGGCAGACATTGGCAGGGTTATTCACTACAGGGTGATGAGTTTGGAGAAGGGAACAATCTAGGACCACATAGCTGAACTGGAAAGTGAGCTGCATTGGAGAATTTTTCTAAATCCGCTATTTTGGCCTAGATTGTTCACTTCTACTGCCTTCTCCAAACTCTTCACCCTTTTGTGAATAACCCTGTTAGGTTCCACCTGAATGGAGATCATCTTATTTAAACCTCAGATATCTAGGGTCTGGTGTTCTCTTTGCTATTGGCATGTGTGGTATAATCATGCTAAGATAAAAAGAACTCTCTAAGGCCCTCACAAAAGGAGGTTCTGAATGCCTACAACTATGGCAAGGGATTTCAAGCTATCTGAAATCAATCATTCTGCAGTAAGGAACATTATTTACAATTGGTGTAGATTTTAAACTGCTGCTGATCTGTTCAGGACTAACTGAATCAGCAAAATGCAGCCCAACAGCTGACCATCTGATGCTCATAAATTCTCCACGATACACAAAATTTCATCACAGGATCTGCAGGTATCTCTGCCAACAGTTGGTATCAAAGTGCATGCCTCTGCAAAGAGATTACACCAATTTACCCTGCACGGGAGATGTGCCAGAAAAGAAAAAAGACTTTGCTGTCTAAAAAGAAAAAAAAAAGAGCCAGACTACAGCATTACATTGAACATATAGGCAAAGACCAGGCCCCCTGGGACAATGTACTGTTGAGTGAAGACCGTTAGTGTTATTTGGCCACTGAACCAGCAGACGTGTTTTGGTGCAAACAGAAGACAGAATTTCAATAGAAGGACTGTGAAGTATGGTGGTGCAAATGTTTGGGGTTGCTTTGCTGTTTTAGAGCCTGGGCAGCATGCAGTCATTGAGTCAAGTATTAATTTACCATCAGATCATAGTGTGCTTGATGAGAATGTGAGACCATCTGTCCAAAAGTTGAAGTTAAACCAGAAATAGATATTTCAGCACAATAATGATCTGAAGCACACTAGCAAATCCACCAAGAAATATTTTTTTATTCAAGTATATCATTTTTATCTGTAGATGAGGATCTAATGTTTGACCAAATGTGAGGATAGTCAACAATTTCCATGGGCTATATGTACTTTTTTTTACATGACTGTACATGTCTGCCATTACCATTGTTTTGTTTAAAAATAAATGTATCTTCTGTCAGTTTGGCCATATTCTCTAAAAGTTGCTGAGCTCAAAAGTCTGTTGTCACCCTGTAACAGGAAGTGCCCGAGCAAGGATTTTCATGGCAGGATTACCAGGGCTTTCTTTTAAAGAGAGTTACAGATTGCAGGTGATACTGCAGGCAAAGTGATTGTAGTATCCAGTTTGTAGACATAATTTGCCTCTGCTGAGGTTTATGCCACCTCAGGATCGCTCTGTTCTGTAAAATGTTAGTTTTATTCATGCCGGATAGTACAGCTCTTGCTATACTTCCAGCTTGCTGCAGATATGAGAGCTGAGGCTCTCATACAAGGAAGAACTAGTTTTGTTTATCCGCTCCCCTCTCCACTTGGCATTTTACAAACCGCCATGTAAACCATTCATAGAATGCACAGCGTTCTGCGGATGGCCAAGTGGAGAGGGGAGCAAATAAACAACATTAGTGCCTCCCTGTATGAGAGCCGCAGCTCCCATATCTGCAGCAGGTCGGAAGAATGGCAAGAGCTGTGCTATCCGGCATGAATGAAACTATAGATATTAAAGGACAGAGCAGCAATTCTGACATTGTATACACCTCAGCAGAGGTGATATATTTACACATCAGATATAACAAAAGACATTTGCCTGGAGTTCTGCTTTAACACGATTACAAATGTCATCAACGTGTTAAAGCTTATATGGGATTTCAGTAAAGGGGGTGTACATCAAATTTAAGGCCATGACTGGTCAAATTTGTGGATAGCGCATCTTAGGATTCAGTTATCCAGACAAAATCTGGAGCAGCTTTGCATGGCAACCAGTCATCCAGTCAGCATTATCAAAGCTTGACTGAACAAACTGAAGGCAGAAGCTGATTGATAATTATGTGCAACTGCTCCAGATTCTGTCTGCTCCAGTTTTGATAAATTCACAGTCTGCTCCAAAGAAACATCTAAAGGGAATATTTTTAGGTATGCTGTGTGAATGGGAACACAACAAACATATAGTGGGATTTTCTCAGATTTGAATGCAAGATTGAAACTACACAAAGTTTGTAAATTCCTTCTGTTTTCGTCTGTGTGTGAAGTTTCATTTTGTGTTGTCTTTGCATCTGTTCTGCTGAATAATGTTGATGAAACTGACTATAGTTGCCTGAATGCCAGATGTTGTTTGCCACATCTGAGTGGTAAAGCTTAGAGGCCCAGAAGCGAATCTACTGGCAGATTATATACAATTCCTGTGTAATTTCCTGGCAAGTCGTGTGGCCAAAGCTGATTTGCTGTCCACTCTGAGGCTGCTCTCAAGACCATATGTCTCTATAGTTTGAAAATTAGATGCATAGAATCATTCACTGGGTCAAGGGCTGAGCAAAATTGGGCCTTGGCAAAATTTTGGCTAAATGCATTTAGGGCCAGTTCACACCATAAACTCTGCCTTCCAGTGTGTTCGGCCTCTGGAACGCAAGCTGGCCAGCTCCCTGCGTTCAGGGGCAGGAGAGGGCGTGTGGCGGTGCATTGAAGTCAACGGCACAGCAGCCACGCTCCGCGCCCGCAGTACAAGCACTATTTTTGCAGATCGCACTGGCCCAGAACACAAACTAATGTGCCTGCGTTTCGGGTGCGGGCGATTGCACTGCGGGTGGGGGGGAGTGGCTGCGGTGCCACTGACTTCAATGCACTGCCATGCCCCCTCCCGCCCCTGAATGCAGGGAGCCGGCTGGCTTGCGTTCCAGAGGCCGAACGCACTGGAACGCGGAGTCTGTGCTGTGTGGACCGGCCCTTAGGGCTAATGGGGAAGGCAAAATAGGTGCAATGACAAGTGTCACTGAGGTGGCGTTGTCATCAACAAAGCTGTGTGATCATCACTAGAGGTCTGACCTGCTGATCATATGACCTTGTTAATGAATAAAGCCATATGACGTTTTGGCACCACATCGCATGTCCAGAATGCAGCTACATTACAGCACACCGCAATGCACAATATGCATTGCACTGTGCTGCAAACATGTGGTGCATTGCAACCCATTCATTTTGAACACAAAACACAGCATACAACCGCAAAATGTATGCTGCCGCACACTTAATTCTGGGTTGATTGGGTCCTAATTGTGTCATGAAGGGAACAAAATTGCCACTAGTGACCAATAATAAAATAATTTGTTGAAAAAAAAAAGTTTTGTTCCTTTATTGGTCCCAATTTTCCGTCACTTCTATTAATCCCATTGATTGCTTTACTCCCAGTTCTAGGCTGAATGTCTGTTGCGAATGTTACAAGTGTAATTTATAAACAGAGACGTTCCCCTAATATGGTCCTTTACCGCCAACATCTATACTGCGCCAGTGATCATTCCCATACCACCAACGTATCAAATGGTTGGGAAAACGCACGCTGTTTTGTGTTCGCTGCTTGTTGTCTAAGAGTCGTGCTTTAAAGGGCAACTCCAGCCAGATATATTAAATAAAAAACACCCTTTAGTCCAGTTAGCGCTGAAAAAAATCAAGAAATATATGAGAAAAATAACTTCCTGGAATCCCACAATCCCCTGCACAGCAGAAGCCAGAGTGGGAGGTTCTGCACGGTGAACCAATCAGGGTCTATAGCTGTGGGCAGTGTAGCCACTTTTACCAAGTTTCAGGCAGTGGGAGCTGGAAAGGGAAGTATTTAGGGAGCTTACAGGAGGAGGAATGTGCAGGGAGGTCCTCATCAATGTCTGTGAGGGGTCTCATTCATCCAGGTCAAGGTATATCTGTAAAAAAAAAAAATCAAGGTAACTGGACTTTCATTTATTTGTCTTAGGAACGTTTCGCTGGTCATCCGACTAACTTTCAAAGCTAGTCGGATGACCAGCAACATTTCTTCAAGAAAAATACAGCAAGTCCATTTATCTTGATTTTTTTTTTATTTTTTTTTTAACGGATATGTCCTCAGCAATGTGATGATGTTGCATAGGCCAGTAAGTAGGCAAGAGTTACCTGTAATAGTGAATAGTGGTGTCAACTTTCTGGCTAAGCATCATGGCAGAGCTGTATAAATCACAAGATCAGCTGAACAGGATAAAACGTATATTTATTGATTTTTTGCATATTCAGGTAACGCTGCAGCATTTAAATATGTGTTAATCTCTCCAAATAGTATCCCACATATAACATTTATTATTAATCTGAATGAAACATTTGGGTGGACATTTGGCCCCCTTGATCCCCAGCTTGGAATAGCTGTATTTATTGCATCACATTTCATATCAAAGTTTGTCTTCCCAAATCTCGATGGTTTATATAAACTTGGCTAGCTTCATATGCTCCCCTTTCTACTCTTCTTTAGATATATTATATATTTTTTGCAGTTAGAATGGTTTGTAGAACATTATACATTTCAGCTAGATGGCCGGAGTTCTGCTTTAAAACCCAAGGTGGCCATCTTGCTTTCTACGCTGTTGTACGTGTGTCAGCGTCTCCCCTCCTCTGTTCTCGGAGTAGTCTGTGCTGCACATTCCCATGTTATAAGTGTGCTTTTGTGCCAAACCATGATTGCGTAGTCCCCGGCACTCGCTTTTTCTTGTGTGGTTCCTTTTAGAATGTCACTTCCACAATCATGTCCTGTCCTCTGTGGCTGTCCAGGGGAGCCTGACAGCAAGAGCAGACAATGCAAAGAATGAAAGAGGACCTGTCATAGGAGTCAGCAGTGCACCTGTCACCATTACCGAATGACAATATTAGTTTGAGTAATGGGGTTGTTTGGCATCACAGGGTCTATTGTTTTCAGTTATACAGGTGATGGATACAACTGCCCCAGTGCTCTATCACTGAAATCGGTTTTTATATTCTCCTGCAGACCCCTGCATGGCAGAAATCAGGCTGTAAGTGGGAGGTTTCATTTAAGACAATCTGATTTTATTGCATTAAACAAAACTGCCAAGCTAACATGTTTCCAGCACTGGGTTCTGCAGGGGATGTGTTCTGGCAGCTTACAGGGAAAAATAGAGCACAGGGAGGGTCTCAACAGTGTGATGGTCATCACACTGCTTTAGTTTACATAGTTGTATTTGTACTTTGTCTTCGACTGGTTGTCCAGAGCTTCACATGCAATCCCACTACGTGCTGGCCAATTATTCCTCTATTCTGACCAATTTTTATAACGTACTCCGGTTTCTGAAGGGTGGCTGGGGAACAGAGACAAAGCTTTGTAGCACATGAGGCCAAAATCATCCTACATGCCGGCCAATGTCTGCTGCTGAGGTCTAATACTGTTCCTAGAAAATGCTTTCGGGTCACTTAGCAAAAAAGGTGAATGAAGAAAACTTTAAGAAAGAATGAAAACATGTAAATAATTCACACAACATCCCTAAAAATGAATAAAGTGCATGGAAATTGGTTAGTTCAGTAAAGCCATTTAAATTCCATTCCATTCTGAATGACGGGGTCTCTCTGCCTATGGACAACCCCCCAAAACTGCAGAAGGTACCCCGGCTTTTGATAATTCCTTTGTGCCCCTCACAGATAGCAGTTCGTCCTGCGGAGTGGATGGGTTCAGATTCCCGCTTGGCATCGCCCCTCCCCTGTGCACTCAGCTTTGGGCAGAACCCCACCTTCCCCCTTAAGCTTTTTGGTGTGCCCCATTGCATTTTCCATCTGTCCCACTTTTCTGCTCTGACACTGTGCTTCTCTCGCAGGGATGGGCAAGAAGGATGACCCCAAACTGATGCAGGAGTGGTTCCGCCTGGTGCAGGAGAAGAATGCGCTGGTCCGATACGAATCTGAGCTGATGATATTGTAAGTGACCATAGGCAGCACCTATTCATGCAGCTTAATTATCAAAGTTTTGACCAGAGGTCATTTTTTTAATTATTTTTTAATTTTCATCTCTTGGTCGGCTATATTATTTTCAAACAATTTAGCAGACTTCATCTCGGTCTTAGCTGCTGCTGCTTCTGACCGACACATGAAGTCCTTCTCACCTCCTGCTTCCTTAGTGAGCAGAACTGCCTGCTCTGTTCACGTGATCCGCTCCAGTGTTAAAGAACAACTCCGGCAAAACTTGTATTATCCCTTGTGCTTAAAATTATAGTCACCTGAACCACGGAGCCGGGTTGTTCTTAGACCAGTCCTTCCAGACTCTCACCCCCTCCTCTACAGCAGTCTAAGGTCCTGTAAATCATCATGTTCTATACACTGAATGCGGTTACAAACCGTCTTTGACAAATGTAATTTGACACTCATCATCCACTTTGCCTGAATCTTATTGTCAAGGAGCAGGAAGGATCTCCACTGCACTGTGTCTGAGCATTTTGTGGTTATCATAGCAAAAAACATATATGAAAATGAATACAATAACGCCTTCTGAGTGGGGTTACTAAAATCACAAATCTGCATGGAACGGTTTACTTGGGTTAATATTTTAGATCAGCTTAAAAGTAATTTGCACTTTGGCAACCATATTTTGAACCCCCTTGATAATTGTTGTTTGTTTCCCATTGGGGGGATATTTCTTTACTTCCTGTCCAAGAGACACAGCAGGAAATGAATGAAAAAAATTCTCTAAAGGGAGGATCTATCCTGTCTTAGCTGTTACTGGATCACGTTTCCCCATTGGAAGATATAGAGGGAGAATGAGAATGAATCCACCCAGCAGGGACACTGCAATGAAAACCTTATGGGGGTTCTAACCCTTTCCCATTCCATCAAAAACAATAAAAAGTTTTGGCTGCAGTTATAGTGTAATACTGTTGTATTTAAGGTAAAGCTAGGTGGCCTAAGTAAAATTACCGAATTCAATTACATGAAGTGTATTTTTCCTCTTCTCTCTTACAATAATATATTACTTGGGAAGTAAGATCCTTGTGTGTGTAACTCTCCATCATCCATCGAGGGACACAGGAATTAAAAAACAGTAGAGTTATACTGCCACCTTGGCAGTTCGGAAAGTTTCCTCTGCAATAGCTTTGGAGGCCGTACCCAGACCCCACTGGGTTTGGACGTGCAGGTCTAGCCTGAAATGTTGTCGTTGGCCATGGGCTGTCCATTGTGGTGCTTTCCTGACCCTTGTGTACAGTGTTAGTTAGCCGCCGAGTGCTTTCCAGGTCTAGAGATGTTGGACAGCCCCAAGGGTGATCCTGTCTCTGAAGACTCTTAGTGAGCAAGGCTGGTTGGGCTAAAGTGCCAGGGGCTACCTAACCATTTGCACTGTTGGGGTCCGTTTTCAAAATCCCTGTCCATTCATTACCATAGTATGGGTTAAGAATGAGGGATGGAGCACTGACTTCCTCTGCTCATTGGTGTGCTGCATGCACATGTTTCTCACACTCTTTCCTGCCATTCTGCCCTAAAGAAGGACTGTACCCCTACTGTCCATACTCCTGAAGCACCATGTGGATCTCTGGTCTCTGGTTTGGTTCCGCTGCCCACCTACATTAGCTTGATCACCCAGGTGACCCAGGTTAGCACTAGCTGCACAGGTTTCTGAGTACTTGAGGCTTTGTCTCACATTGCACCTAGTTGCTTACTGCTACGTGCACAATGTCTTCCAAAAGACAGATCGAGGGCAGTCCTGCAGCCACAGGTGACCTCAGCCCATATTCCCCTACTGGATCTCGAGGTGATTACCCCCATATGAAACCAACTCCTGTAATCATGAACCCTGGACCTCTTTGTTTTAGAATCGTCATCATTAGAGTCTGTTTCAGCCTCACCCATGACCACAAGAACTTTCAGGTCTACTCTGGACTTTCTAGCTGTTTGTGCCCAGTTACGGGAGTTCTCTGCCAACAAGGACTCTGCGCACACACTATTATCACTCCTAGAAGAGTCTACCTCTGACCCTCCTGAGCATGTAAATCAAACCAGGCATCCGGCCCCTATTTTTGAGTACCAACTGTCTATATTGGGACAGGCTGTTTTTGGGTCTCTGTAGTCTCCTGCACATGACTCAGACATACAGGGGGTTGTTTTATACCTTATTGATGCAATGCATATCGCCTTACATCTGAAGGATCAGCCTGCTATTCTAGGCCTTGGGGCTCTTAGAGCTGCTACAGCTAGAAAGATCTTTCCGTTGCACCCACATTTTGAGGCAAGTCCAGAGGCCTTTGTGGGACCTGATCACACCTAAAGTTAGAACCTTCTTCTGCAGCTGATTCACAGCCTTTTAAAGAATGTTCTCAAGATCCCTTTTTCAATCCTGTTCTTGGTCAGGTGAATTTTGGTAGCTGTTCAGCTAAGACTCCTGCCACTTGCTCCATGTTTCAGCCAGTTCCATCTCGGACTGTTTTCCATTTCCGACTGCTTTTGAACATCCTTACTTTTTCTGAATTCATGTGTCCCCCAATGGACAGTGGGAAAAGTAAGATTTTTGTACTTACTGTAAAATCTATTGTTTGTGTCCATTGAGGGCACAGAGGTCCCACGCCTCTGTGTTGCTGGACCTGTGTATTGCATTCTCTCAAAGTTGAGGCATGATTGGTAGAGGGGTTACACATGGGCTGGCTTTCAAATTTTCGCTTTGCCAGTGTCCCAACCTCCTGAGGGTGGCAGTATAATCCCACTGTTTTTGAATTCCTGTGTTCCTCCATGGACTTGAAAAACTATATTTTATGATTAGTTCATGAATTATTATTCTGAACATACACTGGTTTGGTGCAGAGATAAATAAATATAAATTGTGTCCTTCTCAGCGCCCGTGAGCTGGAACTGGAGGACAGACAGAGCCGGCTACAGCAGGAGCTGCGAGAGCGAATGGCTGTGGAGGGTAAGTGTTGCTCAGCAATAAGATTTGAGTTTAGGTGTCCGTTATATGTTTTCAGGTTTTTGATACAGTAATTGCTGGCCACAGACATGGCGCTTATAAGGCAGCTTAAAACCGCTTTTTGATGCAAAAAAAACAAACGGATGGTGACAAACTCCCACCAAAGCTTTCCATTGAAGTTAGTCAGAGCTCTTGGGGGTAAATTGCCATCATCTGTGTAACTGTTGTGGTTGAAAGCTGGTGAAAGGTGAAATTTTATTGCTTTCAACACAGGGGGACAATTTGCAGGGTCCCAAGTACAAATCCGAATCTGTTTCTTTCCAGTGATTAGACAGATCTGCTCAAGAACCTGTAAATAATGAAACCTGTGAAAACTTGGGTACGGGTAATGGATAAGAGTAGGGTTCTGCCACAAAATGTCAGTGGGCTTGAAATCAAGTTCCCTAAAATGACTATACTCATTATTTACTGGCTTCTTATATATCTCATGCAAAGCACACCAATGAGATCTCTCTCTCTCTCTCCGGGCAGTGTCCCAAATATGAAAATGGAGATTTTCCAGCAAGTCGGGAGCGTTCTCTGTAATAATAGCCAGCGATGCCCGAAATCGAGAGCATTGCTTGTGATTAAAGTGGCTTTAGTACAGTTGTCCTTTAACAAATTCCTCCTCCCTCAGTACAGCCCCAAATAATTAACTTCGTCCCCTATCTGGGGATATTTACTATGCGGCACTGCACAGTTGTCCCTGCCGGGTCCTCTTATTACTGCGCACAAGCACCATAGCATCATTTGTTTCTATGGGTGAGCTGTGTACTCTACTTGGTGCCCGGTGGCCATAAGTATGGCTCAACCATATGAATGAATGGGGCCATAGCCCTCATGCAGTAGAAGAAAGACCCAGTGGGTACATTTTCCTTGCAAAGGCTCTGCAGACTTGGGTGAAGATCGCTTGAGGTAGGACCAGGTGACCTTTACTCAGTTTGGGGGTTTTAGGACAAATGTACTAAAGGTAGAATTATCCTTTAACTCACTCAGTTTCCCTTTTTTGTAGTTATTACGCTTTTATTGACCGCTTTCTCTCTTCTGTTTACCTCCGTTGCCCCGAGACTGGACTGCTGAGCTCAAGGCATAGAACTGTATACAGAAAGCAGCATTCTATCTTCTCTCGGGACAAAGGAAATAAGAGACACAGAGCTAGGAGAGCTTGCACAGACTGATGGGAAGGGAGGATCCTTTTAATGTGAGCCACACTGAACAAGCATTTGTTTTTCCTATGTTCCCACAGACCATCTGAAGACAGAGCAGGAGTTAGCGGACGAGAAGAAGATCCTGAACGAGATGCTGGACGTTGTGGAGCAGCGAGACGCATTAGTAGCGCTGCTGGAGGAGCAGCGTCTGCGAGAGAAGGAGGAGGACAAAGATCTGGAAGAAGTCATGTTATCTAAAGGTTATAACCTGAACTGGTCCTGAGGTCTCTCCTGCTTGTCCCCTAACCACGGAGGGGGGGGGTCATTCGTCTTATATGCGAGAGTGGATGGAGAATCTCCAGAGGAGGCGGGCACCGCTCAACGGAGCTGTTACATGAACCCACCGACCCTTGCACGGTTCTTCCAGCGCCCGCCACGACAGAGCGACGTTTAAAAGGGCGACGGCCTTTGTTACAGACAGGACGTTTCATTTCCAGTGCGACACTGAAAAGTCTCTATTCAGGTTTACATTATGCTGCCATTTCTGTGGTGCCGTGCATGACCACTTGTGTGACCCTTCCCATCGACTCAAAAAGTGTATTTGTTCCTTTTTTTTTGTCCTGCGCCGCGGACGATAACGCAAGTGACGTTCACTTGCACTTGAAACATTTGGCCACTAGGTGGCTCCTCCTTTACGTTTTTTCTGGTTTAGTCTTTCTGGCTATGGATTTTAACGGAACGTGCGTTTCTCAATGTTTGAGTTTATTTTCAATGGAAGGACATGTGGCGTTAAGAAGTTTCGTGTTTGTATTATTCGCCCAAGGATTGCTTAGTTGGCCTTGATAGTAAGAAGAGGGGGGAGATATCTGCATGATTATAGGGGAATGTTGAAGCCCAAAAAACATTAACTCTGAACTGCCCGCAATTTATATGCAAACACTCACTGATTGTATCCGCACTGAATGAAAGGCTGAGCTATCACAGGCCTTAAACTGATTATTTTGGGTTCTTTTGAAGCCCCCCACTCCTTTTACCAATTAACATTAGCTATGCTCCCTCGGCTGTTGCGTTCATCCTACATAGCCCTGTCCAGATATGGGGGGGAGCGGATGTTGTCACATTGTGGAGGGACGAAGGTCATTCATTCTGTGTAAGCTCTGAAACAGACCAACATGCAGGTTACCCAGGAATCAGATTTAGGACTCCGAGGCGACCATGGAGCACGTCACAGATGAGTATCAGTGCGTGCGCAAACTGCCCCCATAAGAGAACCTGTCACTTTGCCCTGAATGATATCCAACCTCCTAATATTCTAACCTTTGCTTCTTCGCAGTTGCTTATATCCTTATTTTGCGCAGTGATTTGCTGGCTCCGGCCTCACCTGCTCCATTTTTATTTTATTTAAATCTCCAAAGATTTTATTATTTATTAAAAAGAAAAACACATTCTCCTTTATGCTGCCAAATGCAATAAAATATTTCCTCTTTCAGCCATCCCAGGCTCAAGCGTCCAGCGTTATCGGAAGGCAAAACAATAAGCCGATAAATGTCCCTTGGCCGGGGCAGGTTTGGAGCTTCCTATTGGTCAATGGGACTTGGAACAGAGCAATACAGTGAGCTGGTGACGGGGAGAGAGCGAGGTCGGTGTTATTTGTGGGAGGAAAGTCTTTCTACTAATTCTAATAAGCCTGCTGCAATGTATGATCATATCGAATGTCTGCACACATTATTTTGGGCCATACACACCGCCATAGTTCACGTTAGCGCATATTGTACAAGAAGTAACGGCTGCCGATCTGTTCGTCATGCACTCGGTTTCTCTGTTAGGCGCGTGAATAAGGGGCTGGCGATATAGTATGGCCGCCTTCTTTCCAACCATGATCACTGCATGATGGGATTCCGTTCCGCCAGGATATCCTGAGGCTCTCAAACAAAATTATCCAAAAAGTTGATTTTGTTATGTTGACAAATATGTGGATTTGAATACCTGGGGGGAATTGATCAAAACTGGAGCAGCTGCCAATGGCAACCAATCAGCTTATCGCTTCAGTTTGTTTAGTTAAGCTTTGAAAATGAAAGAAAGAAGCTGATTGGTTGCCATGTGCAACTGCTCCAGGTTCTGTCCGTTACAGTTTTGATACATTCCCAGCATTGTTACTTCGCACAAGATTGGTGAAGAATGTTTATGTGTAGCATACTAAGCCATCGGGTGATAATCAAAGGTGCCCAATTATTGCAGCGGCCCACACAGACGGATATCCTCATACCCAGCTAACTTGGGGACCCGCCTGCCTATGGTAAACCCCTAGCCTTGGTGCACAGTGGTTGCCTTTTACCGCTCCAATTTTTCCATTACATCAGTCAGGGCTGACTTTATACTTTTAAGTGGCTGAGCAGCTGTTGAACAGGGAGACGGAGTGACTGCAATGACATAAAGGCAGCCACTGGATAGAGAAACTAAAGTTTTGCCGTCCAATAATGGAAATAGGTGAACCATACAGGAAGTAAACATTCAAATAACTCAAAATATGTGCGCCACCGCAGCAGACTCCTCAGTAGAGGGCGTCAATCAGACAAAGGAAGCTGCAAAGCAAGCTATGTTTGCTGTGCTTTCTTGTTAGATAAATCATGCTGCTCTGAGAATCCTAAGTCATATTGTAAAACAAAGATTGTGTGTATGTATGTATATTATATATTTATTTATATATCTATATATGTATAATATAAATATATATTTTATACACACACACAAAGAAGAGAAAAGATATAAAATTACTTTGTAAACTTATGAACGTTTTAAAAAAAAATTAACTCAAAACCATTTTAGTTTCACTCTTAAATCATAATTATTGCTGCCAATCACGTGATTTTCCTTCTGTGGATTCGCAGCAAGTAGGAACAATGTTTTTTAGCCATGCAAATATCTATGTGGTAATTGTTTCAGTAAGATGTTTCCTGTTCACCCAGTTCAGTGCTTTCGCTGCCTTTGCTGATGCATTTTAAATCATTTCCCACTCAGGTCAGTTTTACCCAGATCTGACAGCCGGCTGTGCGTCTTCTGCATTGTGCCGTAAATGTACTTAATACAATCGCTTGGACTTTGCACCCTGTGGCAAAAGTTGCAGACTTGCACGGAGTTTGTTCTGAGCAAGATGTGATTACTCTTCCTGGACGCCAGGTTGGAAAATTCCAAGTGCCGATAACGGACTGCTATGTATGCAGCAGATGTTTATGGGCCAGAAAAACAAAATTGTAGATTGGTTCCCGGTTGCGAGACGATATTCACAAACTTTTTTCCATCAGTTTATTAGCTGAGATAAGTCAGAGATAACGTTGGTGACCGACTAAGCACGACTAAACACATTGGTACGCCAGCGGTTGGCGCGTTCACTAATTCTGCCTGGTGGATTGGCATACAGATTCCACATGTGCAGTGATCTGGTTGGAAGCAGTTAAGGTTTTGTGCTGAAGCTTTGACAAGGAAGGTGTTGGTGTGAACCTCCTCCCCCCCGGAGAACTGCGAAAGCTTCAAGCCGCAGATCGCCAGCCCCCGCCCCGGGAACGGGATTTTATTAATGTGCGTTAAAACTATTAATTTATTTAGAGGTTTTATGCTGTTAACAGATTATCTGCTGTATATTCCATGTCTTAGCACCGCGTTCAGAAGCCATTCTTTGCGCTGCTCTGCCGCCTTTCTTACCGGGAGGGTGAGGGTTAAACGTCCATGGCCCTTCTGGGAGGGAAAGGGGGGCTGCGTCACATGTTCCGGTAGCGCCCGTCCGGGCAACCATCACAAGCCGTGATGGCGCCTCAGAACCCGGGCGGGCTCTGTCGGACCTTTATTTTCCCGTATCACAGCCACGGCGCTCTCGTCTAAACAGCCAACAGTTTGCTCAGACACTGTTTTCACTTTTGTGTTTTTATTTTTCTTCTCTATTAACTTATTTTTTAATACTTGAAAGAAGAGTTGCTGTTTTTATATATAAAGGGTTCAAACGTGTCTTTTTGTGTCTGCGTCTTTATTGGGCTTCAGAAATCGGTTTAAAAGGAAAACAAATTGCGGGTTTCAAAGAGGCCCTGTCACCAACTTAAAACAATGTTAGGTAATTCTAGGGCAGGTGTAGGCAAACTCCGGCCCTCCAGCTGTGGTGAGGATACAAACCCCAATATGCATCTGCCTCTGGGAGTCATGCCCCCGTGGCTGTCAGAGACTTGCAATGCCTCATGGGAGTTGTAGTTGCACCACAGCTAAAGGGCCACAGTTTGCCTATCCCTGCACTTTAGGAATACTACAGGATGCTACTTACCTGTCAGCTCTGTTTGGACTACCGGCATCCAGCAGAAGTCTCTGGGCTTTTGGATATCTATACAAAGGAGGCTTTTACAGGTAAATAACACGCATAAAACATGATAAACTGACATATAATCTAATGGGAAGATCTTGGTTGAAATGAATGGAATGATGACACAGTCTCATTAAGGAAAACACCAAATAAAACTTTTTTCAGGTTTGGATAAAGTAAGGAATATTTGGAACTTGTGTCAGGTTTTTATGTCTGTCTGTATTCCAACTGAGGAGTCCCCCCCCCCCCCCTTACTTCCTGTCCCAGGGACACCCTGACATATCAGGTACCCCCAGGACAGGAAGTGTGGGTAAAAATCCTTTACAGGAGTTGTGGCCCCCCCACTTCCTCTATTGCTGTGACCCCTCTGGGGAGCCTCTAAATAACAGTCCCGCATCCAGCATTTCCAGGAGGGCAGAATGGGCAACCCTTCTCTTTACAGTGCAAAAAAAGTGGCAGCTACAGAAGCTGCGGCCGGAGCTGTGTTTCCTAATCCCTTCCGTGTTCACCAGGAACTTTCCCATCACACGTGCAGATCGGATACTTTCATTTTCTTACACATGGAGGAGGAAGTGAGCTATTCTTCAACATTCACACTCTGCACATTTGTTACAGGAACTTCCTACTAAAGGAAACCGCGCTTCCTCCATTGCCGGCTGACGCAGGACAGGCGGAGGTTGTGTGTTGCCTGATATTTTCTAGCTTTGTTTAGGGCAGAGAAAGTTTACAACATCTCTCAAGCAGGGGTGTAACTATGGTAAATGGGGCCCCATAGCAAAATTTCAATGGGGGGGAGGGGGCATAGCTAACTCTCCATAGCAGCTGACTGACAAATGTGTGTCAGGACAAAGAAGACAGTGCATCTACTGCACAGAGTGGGATCCGTTGTAGATGGTCCTGAGGTCTGACTTCAGCCCTTCTATACTGGAAACTTCACAGTCATCATCCTCCTTAATGGGGTCACCCTCCTACCCCAGGCCCATACCAGCCACCTGGACTGCTACGGCTACTGTTACACCACTGCTTTCTGGGGTTTATAGTAGGGATGTCCTGATGCCCCTTTTTCAGGCCCAAGTACATCCTCTCATGTACTTGCCGATACCAATTGCCGATACTTGGCAGGGGAGAATTGTAACTCTATTGCTTGAGTGTAGTGGAGGGAGGTGTGTGCTGTATATATGTACTACATATACATTACACACGTCCAGTACACTATAGCAATAGATTTACAGCCAGCCCCGTCCCAGCTTCCCTCACTCACAGTTTCACTCCGACCCCTGTTGCCTCACGCGGTGCCTCTTGTAGTCGGCGCTGGGCAGGATCGCTGCATCGCGTCTCGGTGCTTAGCTTGTGGGAGCCGCTCATAATTCTGTCCTGCTAACATGAATAAGTTAAATCATGATCCATAGTACATATACAGTACACATGTCCCGTACACTGCTGTAATAGAGTTACAATTATCACCTGCTAACATGAATGAGTTAAATCATGATCCATAGTACATAACATGTAGTTGTACTATGGATCATTTAA